GTATCCTTTAATGTCATTTTAATGCATACTTACCTTACAAATGTGCTCTTCTCCAGCGCTGTTGGTTCGATGTTCGGTTACCCACTCTGTTCCCCACCACTATCACCTCTGCTGTCACCACCTCCGGGTTCCCAGACATCCTATTCAGCCATTAGGTGGCCTCTGATGGTGTACCTCCTGCACATACGCACATGAGTTACATTTTCTACAGCACCCAGCCTATTCATGGCATCTTAGAAATTATGTGAATGGGCTAAATGTGTACACTGCATGGCACATGCACCATACATTGTATACAGAAAATAAAAAAATCACTGGGGAAGAGAGGATGCATTCGTTTGGCATTCTTTTTGCATGCCTCTTCTGCTGAAAATCCCTACCTCCCAGCATTGTTATATTTGAAACTTAACTTCCACTTTAAAGTGACACTTAACTCAGGAGTTAAATCATAGAAATGTACCCAAGTACCTTAACTAGTAGCAAAAATTTATCTTATGTGTGTATCACTCTGTTGTAGATCATCAAATCATCTCTGAATTGATGCTGACACTGTCCTTCCTTCTGGAGGGTGGCTACTTTTGTTCCCCATGGTCCCTGTGTGTGTTGTAATGTAGCCAACGCTCCAAACTTGCTCCCGTGATGGACTACAATCTCACGTTTAGTTTATTAATTTGTATTGAGATTGTAATCTATCACAAGCTTGGTAAACAAATAAGTGATACACAAATAAGATACATTTTTGTTAATAGTTAGGGTACTTTAATGCATTTTTTAGATTTAACTCCTGAGTTTAGTGTCACTTTAATATCTTTGCTTTGCTGAATTAATTTTCACTGAACAGCACAGCTTGTACATTGCCATCTGTCTATCAATGCCTTTTTGTGCCTTGCAGCTTGTATTAATAAAAACACAATGCCTGGGATTCTCTGAGGAAGCATGCATCATTTGTACATAGTACAATATTTTACTGTGATGTAATTGTAGAGCACTTCAGAGCCCTGACTAAACAGCTTGTGAACATACCTAATGTCTGAGTTGTCGTTTTCATGCTGCTTTGTTTCTTTTGTTTCAGAAAGGCAATTCAACTTTTTATTTTTTTCGACCAACTCCACGATAAGTACACAGTACTTTACACTCCCACCTGCGTTTCCCAACTGTGAGCAAACTGAATGCTGTAACATTGGCCTATTATTTATGAAAAACAATGTGGGTGTGTGATGCCAAAGAGGGGATTCTTTCTTTCTGGTGCTCCCCCTTTGCTTTGTGGTGCATCCTCATAACAAGTCACACATTGATAATTAGCTTGGCAGAGAATTTGTACAGCTAAGAGTTGAGATTTCCCTGTTATGTCACCCATCACATCAACAGCATGACATAACATAATTTTCTTCCTTTTTGTGCAGAACTCTGTCCAAGGATAGATTTTGCTTTGAGGTCATGTACCCCTGTTCTTGATCTTAGATTCATATTGAAAATACTTCCCCCCTGAACCTTTTTCACTGTTTCATTATTGTCACCCCTTTCACTTCTTTCTTCAAAACTACATCTTAAGTTTCTGAAGACTCTCTTGGTATGGAAGGAAAATGTAACTTTGTTGCCCCTCTCTATGTTACCAATATTTTATTGTAATTGAAGTCTCCAGAACTTGACACAGTATTCTACTGTAAATTAGGTTTAACTATATATATATATA